CAGGTTGGTCTTGAACTCCTGACCTTGTGATCCACATGCCTCTGCCTCCCAAAGTGCTGGGATTACAGGCATGAGCCACCACGCCTGGCCGAGTAAGATTTCTTTATTCTATTACTTTACTAGTTTATATGTATTTAGTTAATGAGATTACTTTTCTCTTTGTGTTTATATTTAAAAGGAACTTTCTAAATACCAAGTTGCATAGGTGTTTTTCTTCATGTAGTTTTCTTAAATATATCCTTTAGTTACCAGGAAATAGTTATATGCAAATCTAGTTACATTTTCCTGATGCAGATTCACATACATACACCTTTGTCATCCAACCTTTAGACTACCTAAAAGCAAAACAATTGAGGCAAAGGAGAAGTCAAGGATGATCATGACATTGGCTGTATCTGACTGCTCTACAAACTTACCAACCTGTTCATACTGTCTTCAAATAGAAATACTTACTGTAGGATATTATCCCTTACCTACACCTTTTCAAAGCAACTGAGAATAATATTCTTACCATTCCTCAATTATTCAGTGCCTTATTATCATCTGCTTTGAATATAGGAAGTTTTGCTTTCTTTGACTTAACTGTAGAGTACTGACCATATTAGTGGACTCACTGGCAGTGTGATTTGGAGGCAGATCATGTGACTATCAAGGTGACCTATATAATGCCTGAATTTACTTATTAAGTTTTAAAACTCTATACAAATAGGAAGTAGCATCATTCTTTCATCCTTCTTCTACAAGCACATTGTCCCTTTAGAGATTGCTCAATACACTCTTCAAATGGATAAAAAAACTTTTTTTTTTTTTTTCATTTTCCTGACAGTCATTCTCTTAAACTTTTATAGTTTCAGGATTTCATGGTCACTAAAAATATTATAATAAGAACATTGGATGCCTTATTCTTTAGTAATATAGGAAACAGTCTTCTTTTTTTTTTTTTTTTTTGAGACGGAGTTCGCTCTTGTTACCCAGGCCGGAGTGCAATGGCGCGATCTCGGCTCACCGCAACCTCCGCCTCCTGGGTTCAGGCAATTCTCCTGCCTCAGCCTCCTGAGTAGCTGGGATTACAGGCACGCGCCACCATGCCCAGCTAATTTTTTGTATTTTTAGTAGAGACAGGGTTTCACCATGTTGACCAGGATGGTCTCAATCTCTTGACCTCGTGATCCACCCGCCTCGGCCTCCCAAAGTGCTAGGATTACAGGCTTGAGCCACCGCGCCCGGCCCAACAGTCTTCTTTTTAAAAAAGTTAGATTCAAGGGGACATGTGCAGGTTTGTTACGTGGATGTATTTCATAATGCTGGGGTTTGGGCTTCTAGTGAACCCATTACCCAAATAGTGAGCATAGTACCTAGTAGGTGGAGATTTTGAGGTTGAGTAGGGTTTTCCAACCCCTCCTCTCAATTTTGACTCCCCAGTGTCTGTTATTTTCATGTTTATGTTCATGTGTACCCATTGTTTGTAGGTGAGAACATGCAGACTTTCGTTTCTGCATTACTTCACTTAGGATAATGGCCTCCAGCTGCATCCATGTTGTTGCCAGGGACATAATGTTCTTTTTTATGGCTACATACTGTTCCATGATATATATGTACCATGTTTCCTTTATCCAGTCTTCCATTGAAAGACACTTAGGTTGATTCCATGCCTTTGGTGCTGCAATATGCAAATTAGTGCAGGTGCCATTTGATAAAATTATTTTTTTTGAGTAGATACCCAGTAGTGGAACTGCTGTGTCAAATGGTAGTTCTAGTTCTAGTTCTTTGAGAAATCTCCGTACTGTTGTCCATAGTGGCTGTATTAATTTACATTCCTACCAACAGTGTATATATATTTTCTTTTCTCCAAATTCTTGCTAACGTGTTATTTTTTGACTTTTGAATGATAGCCATTCTGTCTGGTATGAGATGGTATCTCATTGTGGTTTTAATTTGCATTTCTCCAATAATTAGTGATGCTGAGCATTTTTTTATGTTTGTTGGCTTAGTGTATGTCTTGTTTTGAGAAGTGTCTGTTCGTGTTCTTTACCCACTTTTTAATGGGGTTATCTGTTTTTTTTCTTCTTCTTCTTCTGATTTAAGTTTCTTAGAGATTCTGGATATTAGTCTTTTATTGGTTTTATGGTTTGCAGATATTTTCTCCCATTCTGTAGGTTGTCTGTTTACTCTGTTAATTATTTCTTTATAACAGACCTTCCTTTTGCATTCTTTCTGGTAAAGTTTAGCACCTCTATGATGTGCATAGTAATTTCAGGATTTTGGAATTCCTTTCTTCTCAAAAGAAAAGTTTCATTATTTTAGCCCTAGTTTCATCGCTGAAACTTTTAAAACTGTTTCCAAACTGTTGAAAATTATCAGCGAATTCTATGAATCTAAAAGACCTTAGAAAAAGGCTGGTCAGGTAGCATACATTATGTGAAAGGAGGCATGCAGAGGACAGAGAGAAGGGGTTAGAAGCAGAAAAACAAATGATCTTCAGTGTTGTCTTCCCCAGCAGTTTTCCTCTCTGGCAGTAATCCTTCTAGAACTAGACAGGAATATAAAGCACAATGTAATAAATGGATACCAATGACAGTCTTTTTTTTCTGGTTCATTAATTTAACTTATAATTGACTCAAAACACATGTATAAGTACACATCAATGATGACACATGCCCTGTAATGTTTTAAAATGTACTAATCTATTCTGTAGAAATTTATAGAAAGAGTCCTTGACAACAGATAAGTTCTTCATGTTCAAGACCTGTCTTAAATAGTTCAGTTGAATCATTTATTGTAGTAATACAGATTTTTTGTAGTGGTGGCCATTAATACTTAGAAGATATTTTTCTTGGATATTTATATGTTGTTACATAGTTTTCCAATTTTTGAAAAGTAGTCTTTGCTTTGTTCTATTTTAGGCTGTTTTTAAGCCTTCACATTTTATGTCAGCTTCAAAATTAAGATTCTCCAACAAGCTCAAGCTTGAAACTCAGAGCTCTAGAATATCTTTAGAAAGTTGTCTGCAACCACAATTGTAGTCTATTCTTAGGGCCATACCTAAAGGCAGCGGAGCTACTGCATTAGAGCTACCTGGGAGTGTCTATAAACAGTAGATTCCTCTATGAGGCCCCATACCCACTGAGGAGTATTTTGGGGAGTGGGCCCTGGGAATCTGCCTTTTAATCTAGCTCCCCAGCTGATGCTATGCATACTAAGTTTTAAGAACTGGCCGGGCGCGGTGGCTCAAGCCTGTAACCCCAGCACTTTGGGAGGCCGAGGCAGGTGGATCACGAGGTCAAGAGATTGAGACCATCCTGGCCAACATGGTGAAACCCCGTCTCTACTAAAAATACAAAAAATTAGCTGGGCATGGTGGTGCGTGCCTGTAATCCCAGCTACTCAGGAGGCTGAGGCAGGAGAATTGCCTGAACCCAGGAGGCGGAGGTTGCGGTGAGCCGAGATCGCGCCATTGCACTCCAGCCTGGGTAACATGAGTGAAACTCCGTCCCAAAAAAAAAAAAAAAAAAAAGAACTACTGTTGCCTCTTGGTATATGCCAGAGACTTTGTTTGAGTGCATAATTCTCTAAAATGCAGTCAGGTAGCTAAAATGCATGGTGGGCACATGCCTGTAATCTTAGCACTTTGGGAGGCCAAGGCAGGTGGATCACAAGGTCCGAAGATTGAGACCAACATGGCCAACATGTTAAAACTCTGTCTCTACTAAAGATACAAAAAGTAGGCATGCTGCAGGCATGCTGGTATGCGCCTGCAGTCGCAGCTACTCAGGAGGGTTAGGCTGGGACTCATCACCTTTGTTCTTCAGTATTAATGGTCTTGTTAAATTATCGGGGGTTTTTTGTTTGTTTGTTTGTTTGTTTGTTTAGAACAAAACAGGTCTCTTGCTTGAATTGGAAATATTAGAAAAGAGTTTCTTAACTTGATACATGGACAGAATTCAGGGGCCTGTGAACTTAGATGGGAACCCAGGAGGCAGAGGTTGCAGTGAGCCAAGATTGCACTACTGTACTCTAGCCTAAGAGAAAAGGGGGTCAAATGAGTTTACCCATAATGAATGTACTTCTGTTCCTTTTGCAACCCCTAAGTCCAGGACCTTCAAGTCTAAACAGATACTCTCTTTCAGTTGGGCAGTTAGTAACTTTTTCCTGCAGCTTCCAGGTATTTGTGGGTACATTGATTCTGAAACTTTGTTAAGATTAAGGCAGTAGAGGTTTTTTTTCTTAAGGAAAGTGAAAGCACAACATACTTGTCTTTAAAAAATTGTTAAACGTTGCTGTATCACCTTTTTCTTCAGTATTAATGGTATTGTTAAATTATTGTCTTTTTTTTTTTCTTTTTTAAGAACAAAACTGGTCTCTTGCTTGAATTGGAAGTGTTAGAAAAGAGTTTCTTAACTTGGTGTGTGGACAGAATTCAGGGGTCTGTGAACTTGGTTGGGAAATAATTTTTTCTTTATTTTCACTGACTCCAAGTTGAAATTTAGCATTTCCTTTAATCATGGCCATAGGCAGTAAACCACTGTAATTCATTTACCTGTGATTTCATTGCCAACAGAAAGCACAGATATTTTGATATTATTTGTTGTTACAGACATCTCAAGAGTGCTTGTGTTCATCATGTCTTCAGAATTATAGTAGATATTAGACCAACTGCTAAATCTTATTTTATAATATCTTGTGCATGTTATATTTAAAATTATTCAATGCTCATGCACTTCAGTATAACTGATGTCTTTTGAACTCTTATGTGTTTTATTTTATACTTTTACAAATAGTATTTTGAGAAGGAATCTGATCCATAGGCTTCACTAGACTGCCAAAGAGGATCAGGTACAAAAAATAGGAAGAACATCTGTCTTGTCTAGAATCTTTTCATCCTAAATCATTTTCTTTTCTTTTCTTTCTTTCTTTCTTTTTTTTTGGGGGGGGGTATTTCTCTTAAATGAATTATTTTTCCTGTTATAGTCATCTCATCATTATATTTTTTTTAACTGTAGCTGACTCCACTGGAACCCATTCTCTGTACACAACATACAAAGATTATGAAATTATGTTCCATGTTTCTACCATGCTGCCATACACACCCAACAACAAGCAACAGGTAAGAGATCCTCCTGTTATCTGTGTTTCATTTGTTTCATTTCCTCTGGAAGCCTAAGTGGCAAGCTTGTAAAATCTTAAACCAGAATTTAGTGTTGCACCTGTCACAGCAGCGGGAAGCTTTGTGCTAAGGAACAGCAAATGAGCTGAAAACAAATGAAGAGACACAAATTTTAGGTTAACAGCCAGCTGGATGCCTTTGTGAATTAATCATTTGCTTTTCACCCACTGGGATTGAGGTTTTCATGAAATCCGAAGAGAACAAGTTGAAATCATTGGTGATTAGATGACTCTGCAGGGTTGCAAAGAACATCCATGAGTGGGTGAAGTTTCATCTCAAGAGGCTAGTGTACAGAGCAGGAAAGTTGTGATGCCTCATTGCAGATTTCAAAGGAGATTTAGAATACTAACTTGGAAAAAAGTCAAAATAATGTCAGCGGAATAATATTCTTCCTTACCATGTTGATTGAAAGATAGCAAGGAACATAGTAACAATTGCGTATGTGTACATCATACACAGAGCTTCTCTTAAAATGATCTAAAACTCATTGCCTAATTACTAAAGTGCAAGTGAGGTAGTAAAATGGGGAATCTAAGAGGTGACAGATTGTTACAGAGCAGACTGGAAACTGGCAGTATTGTTTTAGGGAATATGTGGTAGTTGATTTTTTAAAATATTTCAAAATAAATAATAGCAAACTGAAATTTAAAAGAATCAGAGAACTAACAAACTCTTCTTTTAAAAGCTATTACAACTCGAGCAGTCCAGTTTTACTTCTGACCTTCAAATGGATATGGATTTCTGTTTTTGTCAATTGTTGTGCTAACACAGCACAGGACAGCTGCAGAATGAATCACATCCTCTTTCACAGAATTTAACCCAACACTGTTCCAATCTAACGTTTTATCGCTTTAGGTTTGATTAAATCACAAATCTAGGTAACAGAGTTTTGCCTTTCATGATTGTTAGCATAATAAAAAATGGGTAGCAAAGCAATGAATTGGCTATAAATCTGAGGTAAACCTGTTTTAAGATAAACTTCGTGATCTGTATTTTGTTGATAACTTGTTTTATGCAGATTCCAAATTTTAGCTGTCTTTGAAAGAAAAACATGATAAGAAAGGCAAACTAAACTTATTATTCTGACCAGTCAGTAGGTAAAAAATTTAAGAACATTAACAAATGATCCTTAAAGAGGGCATGAAGGCTTATTCTGCCTGATCACTTAGAAGAGAAAGATGAGATTTGTGAGGGTAGAAAGTTTAGTAACAAGATTGGATTGGTTTTTTCCAGCTAAATGAGTTGAAGTACCAGGCAGAGAAAGCTGGCATTTAAATGGCAGCATCTAAATTATTTAATTTTGGAGTCCAATCAAGGCAAAAATGTTAACAGTCCTAAATCATAATGAGAAATAAATTGGTACTATAACAGATTAAGAAAATTTCACTCTCTAGCCAAAAAATTTATTTTCCTCTATATAGATTACTTTATGCTTGGCGGGGGGAGGAAAAAAAACAGGAAAAATGTATTGTTAAAAATTCCTTTGCAAACATTTCTAATATAAATACTATTTTTCATTATATATAGTAAATATGGAAAAACTGATTTGTTTCTATTTGGGCCCCTATTAAGACCCTTATTTTTATATGTCAAGCCATATTTTGAAGAAAGAATAACATTGCAGGAATGGCACAACAGGTAGATAAATAGTATTTGTTTTTGTTACGTTCACAATCTTGAGTAGATTAATAATCTTTAATAACTGGTATGTTCTGTAGAGCAATCAATACACACCAGCCTTTATTTTCATAACATCTGATTGTATATCATATTTAGAAATGAACTCAGAAATAAACTGTTTTCATTAGAAGACAATTTGGGATGCTTTCAAATTCCTAAGGTTAAAAGTGCATTTCCTGAACATTCTAACTCCCAACTCTCAATCGTAATCTAAAAGGCTATTGTCTCTCCCAGCTGGCAGCCAATACTAGATCACTGATTTTACTGGTATGCAATTTGTGTGCCTTAACGTCAGTAGAGAATTTTTTAAAATACAGATTTTATAAGAAGAAGATTATGTCTAATGGATAGTTTATATAAATGTCACAGTTGTTTTTCTTTTTTAAGAGCCTCCATATAATAAGTATG